GGAAGATGCAGTCCAGTTGGCCCAACTCCCAGTTGTCTGGAAATAGACTGCAATATCTTTAATGTCACAAAGGTAATCTGGGTGTTGGCATACAGAGAAAACCCACAATTGCAATAATGATGTGACCCTAGGAATATCCACAAATCAACTACAGTAATATTATTCAAGACAAATTGGATATTGGCATACCATAAGAACCAATAATGTACCACCCTTAATGATAGAAAAGAAAGCCACAATACTGTATAAACACTAACACAACCCAGATATTGACATACAATTAATATGTACTAACTGCAACTATATCTCCACTAATGGTAGAAAAAAATTTAACTAACGAAAGATTAATAAACCTTAATGGTTATACTATTAAAAATGCAGGGAGTTGGGAATAGGAGAATACAAGAAGAAAAATTTGAAAACTTAAAACTATAGAAGGTGAGAAGAAGTGAGACAAAGGATCCTATTAGGGTGTAGAAGGATATTTACAGAATTAGGTAAAAGTAATAGAAAAAAAAAGAAATAAATCGATTCCTGTGTCATGGCACCAAAGTGCAAGTCCTGAGCACCTTGCTGAGAGCCTCCCAGGTGGTTAGATTGCCTTCTTTTTTTTGTTTTGTTTTGTTTTTTGGGACAGGGTCTCACTATGTAGTTTAGACTGGTCTTGAATGCACTATGTAGTCCAGGCTAGCCTCAAACTCAGCAATCCTCCTGCCTCAGCCTCCCAAGTGCTGGGACTACAGGCATACGCCACTATACTCGACTTTAGATTGCCTTCTTCTGTGACTTCTACTGGCTGCAGGCTGCAAGGGAAGGACCCTGGGAGACCCTCAATAACCCAACATGGCTGACTACAGGAGCCGTCACATCAGAGATACTCATGGAAGATCAACTAAAACCTCAGGTAACTGGGAGTGGGGGAGGGACTTACACCCTGATATAGAAATTCAATTTGAAAAAAGATAATTGTAGATCAAGCTACACATTGGATAACAGTTAAAAAGAAGGGAAAACAGTCCACCAGGGCAGGTCTACACAATCCCCACCCTCGCTCATTCCAGGAGCAGCCATGTTGAGAACTTCCCAAATAGCCAGAAGAAACCAAGGAGCACTGCAGAGACTAATCTCCCAGGACAGCCTGGGTATATGGGCCCCGTTGCCCATAACCCACTCTCCAAACACTGAGGAGGCTGCATCCTTGCCAGCACTCACCAAGGACAGGGAAAGCTCCTTCCCCACCTGCCCAGATCTGGGCAGTGAGAGGATGAATAAGTGAACAGTGATCACTGAGCTCACCCAGCTGCTCATGACAGCTGGAGTCACCATCTGGCACCCCGTGTAAGTACTGGCCCATCTAAGTCCCCATGAGTGCCCTGGGCACGCCCAAGTTGCTGCCAGGCACCTCAAGTTGGCCCCATGCCCACCAGGACCTCTATCTGGCACCCAGAGCTGACCCTGGGCCTGTCTGAGTCTGTGCCTGGCACCCTGATAGCGCTCAAGTCTCCACCTAGCACTCGCTGCCCTGCATCATCTCTAGACCCATATATTAATGTATAATTCAATATAAATAAATATTATTGACTTCAATACTTAAAATAAGTGGTAATATAAATTATAATTAAGTATTCGTAAATATCCAAGTGAGCACCTTTGGACAAGAGGTCAATGCCTGTGTAAACTGATAGACTTATTGCTGAATGGCCAGAGTGCAGAAACAACACACAAAAAACATATGCATTTGATAATGAATGGATGTGGTTATGTCTAATATAGATTTTCATAATTCAATATGTCGCGTGTTGTAACAATCCAGTACGAGCACGCTACATGGAGAAGAATTGCTCCTTTAAGGACAGCTCTATTGCTGGACATGAAGGACTGTGGCCAATGGTTGTACAGGAAATAGAATCGCAAGAAATTCAGGCCAGAAATTGGAATTTGATGAGTTATGACGATGTTCCTGAAGATGACTTGACTGTATTTGAATAAATGTAGATTCTTGTACATAAATAAATGTAGATTATTATACATGAAAAAATAAGACATCCCCTGAATATAAGCCCTATTACATCTTTTGGAGCAAAACTTAATATAAATCCTGGTCTTATTTTCAGGGAAATATTGTAGAAGACCCAAAAGTATTCACAAAAAGACTCCTAGAATTATTAACCAAATTCAGTAGTATAGCAGTATTCAAAGTCAAAAGTCAATTAAAAAAATCAATAGCTTCCCTGTATACCAATAATAAAGAAATAAGGGAAACAACACCTTTCACAATAGCAACAAGAAAAATTAAATACTTAGGAATTGACCTAACCAAGGATGTGCAAGACCTCTACAACAAAAATTACAGTACTCTGAAAAAGAAGATACAAGAAGACATCAGAAAATGGAAAGAGGGCCGGGGATTTAGCTCAGTGGTTTCGCCGCTTGCCTCACAAGCATAAGAACCCTAGTTTGATCCCCGGTACCAAAAAAAAGAAAAAGAAAATGGAAAGATATCCCATGTTCCTGGATAGGGAGAACCAATATATTTTAAATGGCCTGCTGGCCGTGGTGGCACACACCTGTAATCCCAGCACTTGGGAGGCTGAGGCAGGATGATCACCACAAGTTTGAGGCCAGCCTGGGCTACATAGTGAATTCAGAGCCAGCCTGAACTACAAAGGGAGACCCTGCCTAAAAAAAAAAATGGCCATACTCCAAAATTGATATACAGTTTAATATAATCCCAATCAAAATACCAACAGCATTCTTTACAGAACTAGACAAAAAAAATCCTAAAATTCATGTGGAACCAGAAGAGACCCAGAATAGCAAAAACAATCCTGGCTAAAAAGAGCAAAGGAGGCTGGGCAGGGTGGTGTGTGCCTGTAACTCCAGCACTCAGGAGGCTGAGGCAGAATTGTCATGAGTCTAAAGCCAGCCTGGACTACATAGTGAGTTTAAGACCAGTCTGGGCTACATAGCAAGACCTTGTTTAAAAAAAAAAAAGAAGGAGCAAAGCAAGAAGCATCACAATTCCAGACCTGAAGTTATATTACAAAGCTACAGTCATAAAAACAACATAATATTGACACAAAACAGACATGGGGATGAGTAAAACAGTGCAGAGGATGCATCAAAAGCACAAGGTCCTGAGTTCAATCCCCAGTATAAAAAAAAAAAAAAAGAATAGAGGATGCAGAAACAACCTCAGGCACATTCAGCTGCCTGATCCTTGACAAAGGGCCCAAAAATATATGCTGAAGGAAAGATAACTTCTTTATCAAATGGAGCTGGGAAAACTGGCTATATACATGCAGAAGATTGAATCTAGACCCATACCTCTTCCCATATAATTAAATTAAAAGAAAATGAGTCAAAGATATAAAATTAATACAGAAACAACCTGCTGAAAGATAAAATAGGTAAAACTCTGGAAGACATAGGCATAGAAGGACTTTCTGAACAGAACACCAATAGCACAAGAAATAACATCAAGGATCAACAAATGGACTTTGAGAGAAGCCTCGTCTGGTGCAGCCTCATCTGAGCCCACATATTATGGTGCTGCCATCTACTCAGTTTGCCCTTGCTGGGAGGATAGCACTAAAATGTTAATTTCTACCCCACCCCACCCCGCAGTTAACTGTGAATTCTAGATCTAAAATAATGGATTAAGCTAAAAATAAAGAAGGCAAATCCTCCACACACAAAAAAAGAATCAACAAATGGAAATAAATAAATAAATGTTTCAAAAAGAATCAACGAATGGGATTATATCAATTTTCAAAGCTTCTGCACAGCAAATGAAACAACTAAGAGAGTGAAGGACAACCTACAGAAGGAAAAATTTTGCCAGCTACTCCTCAAAGGACTAATATCTAGAATGTGTAAAGAACTCAAAAAGAAGAAACTCACACACACAAAAAAAAACTCAAAAAAAATTTAGACCCTTAAAATGAAAAGCTCGATCAAAAATGGGCAACTGAAATAGACACTTCTCAGAATGGCCAATAAGTACATGAAAAAATGTTCAACACCATTGGCCACTAGAGAGATGCAAATTAAAACAACACTAAGATTCCATCTTACCCCAGAAAGAATAGCTGTCATCAAGAAATCAAAGAATAATAAATGCTAGGGAGGCCATGGGGGAAAAGGAATGCTTCTTCATTTTTGGTGAGAGTGTAAACTAGTACACTCACTATGGAAATCAATATGGAGATTTCTCAAAAAACTAAAAGTAGAAATTCCACTCAACCCAGCTATCCCCCTTCTAGATATTTTCCCCAAAGAGTTAAAGACATCACATTACAGTGACACATGCATATCCATGTTTATAGCAGCACAATTCATAATAGCTAAATCTTGGAAGCAGCTTATATTTTCATCAACAGGTGAATGGATAAAGAAAATGTGGTATTTATACACAGTGGAGTACTCCTTTCAGCAGCACATATACTAAAATATACACAATGGAATACTACTCTGCCATAAAGAAGGATAAACTTGAGTCCTTTGTAGGAAAACAGTAATGAGAGTAATGTTAAGTGAAATAAATCAGACGGCAAACCTAAATATCACATGGCTTCTCTTACATGAGAAACCCAAATTATAAATAAAGAGCAAAATAAAAGATATATAATAGGAAATAGTGAGATAGATATTAGCATATGGGAAGAGAACCAAGAGGCAGAGGGAGGAGAAAAGAAGGGGAGGAAGATGAGATCAAAAATAAGAATAATTATGATGTGTTGCATACATGTACCAAGTCCCTATGAGGAATATGATCATAATGTATTACAAACATGTACAAAAATATATATAGGAGAAAGGATGGAAGAGATAGGAAACAGAAGGGAGGGGATCAAAAAGAATTAGTAAAATATGTGGTATACATATACTGACTCCCTATGTTGAGTATAACCATTGTGTACTATAAACATCATGTACTAATAAAAAAGAAATACTAATAACAAATAAAAACAGATCAGAAGGTGAAGCCAGAGTTGTGATTCAGCATCTTTATTCTTCCCCTTCAGCACGAGGGTCATCCCAACAAAGGGCTTCAGCCCAAGGACCTGCCCTCCTCTCTTCCTCCCATGGGGTTAGGAGTAGGACCGTGATGCAAGCTCAGCATCCCTGGGGAGGAGGGAAGTGGGCCAGTCTGCAGCTTCTGCTGTCCCCCACTTCGACAGCCACATCCATGGGGACCAGCCACATCCACACCCTAGGCTGGAGGGACCCAGGAGAGTGGCCCCAAGTTCCTCCACATACACATGTGCACAGGGACTGAGTGGGGCAGGGAGGACCACGTCAGTGTCCAGACATGTGGCTCTGGCCTGTGGTCCAGTTGGCAAACATAAAGCCCAGACTGATGGCCATGAAGAGGACCCCCAGGATGCCAAAACACAGGGCCTGTGGGCAAGAGGGAGGGAAGGTGTGGTTGACTGGGACTCCCCACCCAAGCTCCTGTGAGAAGGCTCCATTCCTGACCCTCCTCTATGCTTCCTCTTATTCTTTCTTTCTCTTTCTATTTTTATTTTGTTTTGCTTTCTGGAGACAGGGTCTCAATCACTATGTAGCCCAGTTTGGCCTCCAACTGATGATCCTCCTGGCTCAGCCTCTGGAGTGCTGGGATTACAACCATGCATCACCACACCAGGTGCTTTCTCCTTCCTTAAAGCAGCCCCTTCCTGTGAGTCCTCGCTAAGCTCTGCACCTTCCAAAGACAATCACCTCCCTTCTTCCGCACCAGCACCATCCGCCCTCTTCCTAGAGGCTCCCTCCTCAGGCCCCTCAGAAGTACCACTTTTGCTCTCTCCAGCCCCCCAGGGAATCCTGCCTCTTCCCCATCCTCCCTGGGGAGCTCACCTGGATCTTGGGCCAGGAGCAAAGGGGCACCACCTCAGAGGGGATGATGCGGAGGTAGAAGATGCTGGGGAGGATGAAGATGAGGCTGGGGGCAGAGGTGGACCCTGGAAGACAAGGAAGGACAGGAGTCAACCGAAGTTTGGGTGTGAGGCCCTTAGGTAGAGCAGGGGTCAGAACTGCAGATACTGACCAATAACCGCAAAGATATCCCGGATGGTTGGCACACAGATGACAAGGACATTGACCAACGCCAGCAGGATTAGGGCTATGACCACATGCCGTGGCCAGCTGAAGGCCTTGCTTGGGAAGAGCAGCTGCTGCAGGGCCCGGCGGATCTGTGGCCAGAAAAGGACAGGACGGTGTCAGAATTCAAATGCTGTCCCTCATCCATGTGACTGTGTCTTTCACCCCAGCCTCTGTCTGAAATTCCTGATTTCCCCTCCCACTATCTATGGCTCCACCGTCTGACAATCCATGTCAATTCCATCTCCTGGGATCATCTATCTGTGTTCCCCCCATTCTCTAAAATCCTTGCATCCTCTCTCTGCCCAACTCTGTCTCCACCTCTGCACCTGACCATCACCTGTCTTTCCCCCTTGCCTGAAATACCTGCCTCTCCCTCCATCTGTCTACCTCTGCCTCTCTTCTATGATAAATCATTCCCACCTCCCCAGCTGGGAGCCTTGTCCTTTCTTTATCTGACCACTTCTTTTTTTTTTTTTTTTTTTTTGGTACCGGGGATCGAACTCAAGCCCTCACGCTTGCACAGCAAGCGGCGAAACCACTGAGCTAAATCCCCGGCAATCTGACCACTTCTGCTTCTAGACTTCTATCCCTCTTCTTTCTTCATTCTGACTGACCATCTGTCTATGCTTCTCCCCTGACTGGCCACTCCAGCCTCTCTCTTCTTCCTAGCCACCCATCTGTGCCTCTCCCTCCAACTGACTCCTCTGGCCCCCTTTCTCTTTGATCAGCTAGCTTTGCCTTCCCTGCCCGTCTGACAACTCTGCCTGTCCTCTCTGTCCATCCCTGCCTTCCCCATCTGTCCATCTGCTCCTCTATCCATGCTCCATCCCAGTGCCCACACCCATGCCCTGTCTCTCTCCTGCCCCATCACTCTGCTCCCAGGGCCCCCTTTGCCCCTACGCACAGGGAACAGCACGACGGGCACAGTGAGGGTCACTGCAAGTAGCACCGCCAGGCGCACGCAGAGGATGAGCAGGTCCTTCCGGCTGTACATGTGCAGCATCTCCGCCTTCACGCTGCCTGAGCCATGCCACAGGGGACGCAGAATGTAGGAGGTGACAGGAACACCAGGACCAGTGCCTCAGAAACCCACACCCACATCCACAGTGACAAAATCTATGCATGTGAGGGGCCCTCCTTTTGCAAACAGATGGATTCAAGATGATGGGGGAAGAGAGAGCCCAGAGGCTCCTGCCACAGCTTCGACCCATCCCGACCCTACAGCCCCTAGGCACACTCACTGTAGAAGGTGAGGTATCCAAAGGTCGCTGTGAGCCCGTACATGCAGAACATGGCCCCAATGGACACGTTAGCCACAGCCTGCATCCTCCGCTGGGAAGGCCTGAGGGGTACAGGCCATGGGACTATCATGCCCGGACCCCTGGACTTGGCCCAGTCCCCTCAAAACCAGACCCACCCTCCAGGGTCCCATCCTCCCACACTAACATTCAGCTGGGGCACACTAGTGTCCTGTCTCTGGCTGTCCTGTGTAACTGGCCAAGCTGCCCCTCTTTGTCCATCCATGTCTTACCCTACATGAGCATCTCTACCTCTACCTTCCATCTGACCATCCATGCTGTCTCTCCATGTGATCCCCCACACTTCCTTCCATCGCATTAGCCCTGCCTGCCCCTTTGTCCATCGTCCGTCCCTGTGTCCCTAATTCCATCCATGTAGACCACCACCCCTCCCATGCTCAACTGATCCCTGCTTCCCAACTCCATCCATTCACATTTGTTCTGGAATTTCAAATAGCAGACATCCCAGGTCCCAGTCCATAAACAGCCACCGCCCTGAGTCCTCCAAACCTGTCCCTTGATACAGCCTACCCTCCTCAAGCTACAGTCCCAAGGCTGATGTGGGGATGGTCAGACGTTATGACTCTGACCCCTCCCCTAGCTGGCCCATCATACTTGCCCATCCACTCACCGGCTCAACTCTGTGTAGATGGGCAGCACCTCAGGGTGGCAGACAAAGGCAAAGGCCATAATGGGCACTGTGTAGGCCATCTGGGGGAATGGTCCAAGCACATGTGATCAGAGCCCACAGGGGCCTTGGAGGTCCCCTTCCTTCATCCCCTGGTCCCACCGCTGGCCTCTACATGGCAGCCCCTGAGGTCTATCAAGGGCCCGACCCTGAGCAGTTTAGAGTGTGAACAGGAACAGGGGTCTCCGTGTAATGCCAGCTCCTACACACCTACACACTTACCTGCGAGTCAACTGTGAACATTTGGGCCTCACAAGTGTTGTTGAGCCCCAAGCTGGGGAGGCCCAGGGACGTACTCTCTATTGCTGTCTCATTGCAGTTTAGACCACAGCAAATCTGGAACTTCTTATATATAACCTGGAAGTGGGGCAGCAGGGAGGCAAGGTCACCAGGGAGGCTATATCCCAGTGCTCCAACTGGCCCCTCTTCTCTGACTTACCGAAATGAGGAAAAACAGCATGCAGGTCAGAGAAAGGCTGCTGGTATACCCCAGATAGCCTACAGGGGGCAATACACAAAACCCAAGAAATCAAGGACCCCTTATAGCAAACCCTAAGCCCCTAGTCTGGCCTTCAAGACCTCCTCACTTCAGTTACCTTTACATAAGTTTATACTTCCACCTAGACCAGCCTCCCTTCTTTAATGAACTTCTACAAATCTGTGAAAACCCACATCAAACAAGCTCCCCCCTGGTGTTCCACAGCCCTTGAAATCCGAGATTTTCTCCCTCCAGTTCCCCCCTCTGTAACCCCACTACCCAGTGACCAACCAGAGCACAGCTTACCCAAGTGTTTCATGAGAGCCAGGGGCAGGATGATTAACACACTGACAATTATGATCAGGTAGTTTCCTTTCAAGAACCAGTCCCTAGGGAGACAAGAAGACACAACGACTAGCTGCTGGCCAAAGAAAACCATGAGGCTGACACACATAGAAGCCAGCCAGCCAGATTTCTGCTCCCCATGGCGGGGAGGGGGAAGACACCTCAGGCTGTAAAGTTATTCGAGTCATTGCAGTGACAAATGGCACAACAGAATTGACAGAAACAGACTGATTTATGAGACCACTGGAGTCCACCTAAAAACACAAGCACAGCCAGACAAAACTCGCCATCAGATTTGCAAGCAGACATACAATCAGGTGGCAAATACCCCACATCAGTCAGATCAGATGTGAAAATTGCCAAACACAAAGACAGTGAGTGATGATCCTGGTATGCATGCCATGTAGAACGACAGTCTGATGGCAGACACACCACAATGCAGTCAGCCAGAACATCAGAAACACACATGCTTACTTTTTTGAACAGCTCAATTTCTGTTGGATGCCTGAAAGTGGCTGAGCTGATTTGGCCACACAGCCAAAGAAAGACTGACACAGAAACAGAGTCAGCCAGCTGGCCTCACTGTTGGAACCAAGCTCAAGGAAAAAAGGGCATTACAGTGGCACATGCCTGTAATCTCAGCACTGGGGAAGCTGAGGCAGGAGGTCATGAGTTCAAGGCCATCCTGGGGTTACATAGCAAGTTTCAGGGACTTTCAAGCCTGGACTACATAGTGACACCCTGCCTCAGAAAAAGAAAGAAACAAGGGCTGGGGATGTAACTTAGTGGTGCTGAGCCTGCCTGGCAAATGCAAGGTCTGAGTTTGATCCCTGGTGCTGAAAAAAATAAGGGAGCTCCACAGACATTGGAGGGAGGTGCCCAAGTAAGACACAGTTAATGCAGAATTGGCTGGATAGATGTTTCTTCACTTTTTTTCAGTACCGGGGGTTGAACCCAAGGCCTTTGCACTGAGCTACATCCTCAGCCCTTTTTTTATTTTCTATTTTGAGACAGACTTGTTAAGTCTTGTGTTAGACTTGTTAAGACTTTTTAAGTCTTTTGTTAAGACTTGTGATCCTCCTGCCTCAACCTCACAGTGCTGGAATTACAGGAGTTCTCCACCACGCCTTACTCATTCAAAAGAACTTTATTTAATGCCTAGTATGTTACAGGCACTCACATGTTCTCTACCTCATACACTGTTAATACAGAAATAAACCAACAAAGTGCCATTGGCCATAAATACATGGGAGTTAATTATAATACACAGAACTGGGGCCCAGGTGTAGCCCAGTGGCAGAGCACTTGCCCAGTGCACAGCATGGCACACACAAAAGAAATTAGATGTACCTAGTCATACTTGATGTTCTCAGAATCAAATCAACCAGCTAACAGAATACACACAGATAATAAAAAGCAAAGCCAGTCATGGTGGCACACCCCTGTAATCCTCGTACTCTGGGAAGCTGAGGCAGGAGGATTAACAGTGTGAGCTCAGGCTGGGCAACTTAGTAACTTACAAGAGCTTGTCTTAAATTTTTTTTTTAAGTTTTAAAAGGGCTTGGGATGTAGCTCAATGCAAAGGCCCTGGATTCCATCCCCAGTGCCACTAAATATAAACAAACAAATAAATGCAAGCAAGTTCTCAATTTAACCTAACAGACACACAGACCAACTACCCCAGAGTCGACTGACAAAACCAGACAAGCACACATACCAAACAAAGTCAGTATCAGGGTCAGAGCTGTGAGTCAAAAACATGTATAGGGGAGGAGCCTGGCCATATAGTTCAGTGGTAAAGCACTTGCCTGGCCCAACAGAGGCCCTGGGTTCTTTGATTCCTAGCATTACAAAAAAAAAAAAAAAAATCCCACACAGCTGGATGTGGTGGCATACACCTGTAATCCCAGCTGCTTGGGAGGCTAAAGCAGACAGATCACAAGTTTAAGGACAGACTGGGTAACTTAGGGAGACTGTCTCAAAAAATAATGCCCAGAGTCTCACTGTACACAAATAACCAGACAGATTCTGCCACCAGGATGGGTCCAGAATTAAACAGTCAGAACAACCAAACACACATGGTTGTAACCACAATACAGAGGACATATACAGGCATAATTGGAGATCACATGTACACAGCCAGAGAAAATATGCAAGAACAAATAGCCACCAAGAAAAACCAAGATGGAGTTGAATGGATGTAGAGAAAGTCACAGACACAGCTGGCACGGCAGTATGGCATGTGTACCCCCCAGTGGAGTCAGAGATTGGACATTTGGAGCTAAACAGAATGTAGCAGCCTGATAGACCCAGAATCTGACTCACCAAATCAGCTGGACAGGGAAAGTCAGAGTAGCCAAGTGTCAGACACATATGGTTGCAATCACAGTATACAGGACACAGCTGTTGCCAATCAAACGTCCAGCCAAAGAGAATCAGCCAGTATCACAGTCCCTGAATCAATCCCAGAGTCCACGTCTACTGGCTGTGCGCAGTCACACTCACATAGTCAGTATCAGTGCACAGTGGACATAGAGGCAGCTGCCAGCCGGAACAATCGCAAAATCAGCATGGGGTCTACTAGGCACCTCGAATTGGCAATGATCAGATATATTGTTGGCATCACAATATACACGTATCAGTCTGACTCAAATTGCCCACCCAACAGGCTCAAAGTAGAACACTTGGGCAGCACGTAGACATACAGCTGGAGATGACAGTGGCCCTCAAAGGCAGAGTCAAGGGCCTACAAGCCAGCCAGGGGTGTCATTCACTCACCCCTCGGGTTCTTTGTTCAGGAAGGTGCCGATAACCAGGGGGAGTTCGGATTTGATGATGAACAGGTAACTGGACATGGCTGGTGCAGGTGGGGGAAAATGTAAGCAGAAGGATTCCTCTCGGCCTCCTTCCCTGTCTACCCTAGCCCAGCCTCGGGAAGCCCACCTCATCCCACCCTTCCCCCCAGATGACCCCACCTCCCAGAATCCTCACCCCCAACATTGTGCAGACAGATGACGGTGGCCACCACTACCTTCCCCACGGGCCCAAATGCCCTCTGTCCCAGCTGCTCATAGGCTCGGATGCCTGGGGATGGGCAGAAAGGAATGAGGTATGGGATCAGGCTGGGCAGGGAGGGAGGGGCCAGAGGAACTAGAAGCTGGGGCTTGAGGGGATTGGCTCTGACTGACGGAGGCTGGAGGTGAGGGCTAAGCAGTCAGGGTTGAATTGGGGGGTCAAGTCTGGGAGATAGCAATAGAGGTCAGGAAGAGGTTAGGGACTGGAAGTGGGGTGTGGGGGTCTTGTGACCACAGTGGGAGGGAGAGAAGCCTCGGATGTGGGGGTCTTGGGGCTGCGGGACTGGCTTCCAGAGTAAGGGGAGCTGGGGACTGGAGGGTGAGGTGAAAGGGGAGTGCAGCGGTCTCAGATGGGGAGGACCTGAGTAACAGTGTCTGATGGCCAGACTAAAGGGTTGGGACCTAAGGTCTGGGAGCCCAGATAAAGTCTGAGGCCAAGGTTGAGTGTGGAATCTGGAGTTCAGGGGGTTGAGTGTGAGGTTTCTGGTGCTGGGTCTGGAATCTGGTGTCTAGGTGGTTATATACAGAGTCTGAGGTTTGAGTTGAGATCTGGGGCCTAAGTTCAGGAATTGGGACCGGGATTGGGGTCTACGGGAGAAAACAGGTATCTGAGCTCTGGGTCTCACCTACAATACCGGCACAGGTCAGCAGGAGGTGGATGGAGTATGAAGACAGCAATGCAATGCACAGCAGCAGGGCCCTGTGGCAGAAGGTGCAGCTCAGCCTTGGCCCCAGCCCTCCCCCTCGCCTCGCCCCCCCCCCGGGGCTACCTATAGACTCACAGGAAGAAGAGGACTCCTGTATGGGCCATGGCATAGGCCAGCCCCAGGATGCCACTGCCCATGATGGCATTGCTAAGGTTGAACACCGACATTCCAAACGATGTCTTCCCCTCAAACTGCGGGCAAGGGAAGGGGGGAAGCAGGTAAGACTAGTGCTGGAGCCAGGGAAAGACTAGGTGAGGGTTAGGGCAACTAGGGTGGGGAGTAGCCCGAGAAGGTCTATGGGAGGAGGGAGGAAGCTGGATGGGAAAAAGAGTTGAAGATGGGAAGAAAGTAGGAAAGGGAGAGCTGGGAAGAGGAAAACCAGGAGAAACTGCCGAGAGCAGCTGGAAGTGGAGAGGAGCAGGAAGGGAGAGTAAATGGGGATGCTGATCAACTGCAGGCCATTAGAGGAGAGAGAGTGGCTGGGGCACAAAGCAGGAATGGAGGGGAGCTGGAGAAGAGTAGGCTGGGGAACAGTTAGGGGAAGGAGACAGGCAGAGGGACGGCTAGAGAGGAGTATCTAGGAGGAGAGAGCAGTAGGGAGATTAGAGAAGGTGCGACCCTGCACAGATGCTGCGAACTCACATCCATGAACTGGACTGGCTTCCTCCCAAGAGCAGGACCACGGCTGGGCAGGAAGCCCTCGCATTCCTGCCTGTAACTAGACAGGGCAAGGATATAGAAGCTGATGAGAAGTGACCCTCCCCTCCCCCCACTCTCCCTCTTTGCAACCCCCCAACTCACCCCTCAGCACCCACAGGGAGCGCTCCGTTCATTTTTGGATCTTGCATTTCCATCCTGTGGGCAGAGAAATGGGGTAGGAGCGTCAGAGATGGGAGGTGGGCTACAAAGTGAAGAGAACCAGATGAAAAGAGATCACATGCACATAGATAAAAAAGCAGAAAACAAACAGGCACGTTGAACAGGAACAGAGAGGAATTCGAGAGGCAAGGGGACAAATAGAAGGAGAGAGACAAGTGTGAAAGAAAGAAATAGGAGAGACGAGGCTCAGAGGAGAAATGCCAGGAGTAGCTCAGAGAGACACGGAGGGAAAAAAAAAAGGCAGCAAGAGACAAATAGAGGGAGGGAGAGACAGCAAGATACAGGGGAGACCAACCCCACAGCAGATGAGATGGCCATTCAGAGCGGGGATTGCTTCTCCCAGACCCCAGACTCACTCTGTCTCTCTCTCTCCAAGTGTCTGTCGGTCTCTTTCCTTTCCCTTCCCCCGCACCCCTCCCCTTCCCTCCACCCTTACGGTGTGGCCAGCCGGCTCACTCCTAACAGGGACACGTGTCGCCCGCTGCCCCACCCTTCCTACTAACCCCCACTTCTGCTAGTCCCTGCCTGGGCCCAGTAGCCCAGAGCTGCTGCAACCTGTTGGAGGGGCTGGGCAGGAGGAGCTCCTCGACCCCAGCCCCAGATGCTGCAAGCTGCTTTCTGAATATCTTCACTGGAAGCTGAAGATAACCCAACACCCCTCTTCCAGGGACAGAAATGACCAGGGAGGCTGAGGGTGTTACTAGGTGAGACAGCACTTGCCTAGTATGCATGAGGTCCTGGGTTTGGTTCCTAGCACCACCAAAAAAAAAAAAAAAATTACCCAGGGACTTCCCATTTAATGCGCCTTCTAAGGCCTAGAGGTATTTTCTAGGACCCCCACCAAGTTTTAAACATTCTTCTAGCCCGGCATGGTGGCCCACGCCAGTAATCCCAGCACTTAGGGGACTGAGGCAGGAAGATCAAGAGTTTGAGGCCAGCTGAGCTACATAGCAAGAAGCTGTCTGAAAAAAAAAACCCAAACCAAACCAAACAAACAAAAACTCCTCTTTAGCAGAGCTACATTTGGAGGTACTTCCAATCTTGAGACCCTTCCTGCCCTGTGGTGTTTCAGGAACCTGATGGAGCATAAGCTAGGCTTTTCGCTCCAGAAGAGGAGCTGTCTCTGTGTGCAGGTGCTCCCTCCCAGGGCCCAACATGGTTCCTCCATGGAGGTGTCTGTGAGGTCCCCATCTCAACCAGGACCCTCTGTCTGCTGGATGGAGATACTAGAAAAAACCTCCAGCCCACGCCTCACTTCCTGGAAACGAGGTATCCGAGAACCCGCCATTCAAGGTCCCCATCAGATCTAAAACTGGCACCAGGAAACCCCTCCTCAAGTCGTAAATCTCCTTTCTGGCATGAGGAGGAGTCACAAGCCTCCTCCCTCCCTAGCTATGAGCTCCTTCTGGGAACCTCTCACCACTGCTGAATCCACTTCCTGGGTCCAAGGTACTGAAAGGACATCCTTGCTCAATTCCTCACTAACATTACAAAAGTCTCCAGGGAGACTCCTGAACCCCTTTCTGAGACCCCCCACACACACACTCGTACCTCGTGTCTCCAGGCCCACTATTCCCACGGCTCATGAACCCTCCTCACCTCCTTGTTCCTCTCAGCTTCTGAAGCGGCAGCAACCAGACTGGGCCTCAGGGACCCAACCTGTTCAGTTCCCGCCATAGCTCCCGCCCTGCCTTTCAGCCAATCAGCTCCACCAGCGCCTGTTCTAAGGTTGCTACCGCTTGTTCCTTGGCTAATCAGTGTGGCCTGCAGATAGTTTTCTTTTCTAAGAATAAGGGCTAATTTTAATTGAGTTTCCCTTCTTCTGGCTTAGGCGAAGAAGTGGGGGGAGGCTTGCCCACATCTAGAGCCACACTGAGGGAGACAGAAGTTAGCGTTTGTCTTGGTGGTGGGGAGATGGGCTGAAAGATTGGAAGGAGTAGATTCACATCTAGAGAGAGGGACTGGGCAAAAAAGGGAACAGACTTAAGAGATCAGACAGCAGATAAGGAACAGAGAAGGAGGAGACAAAAAAGAAACATTCACAAATAGGAAATATAGCACAGGGTTTGAAAGCTCACTGAAGGGACAGAACGACAGATGGGCTGGGAGGAGAGGATGAGATGGCAGTAATAGGGAGAAGGTGCCAGAGAGACAGAGGGACAGATACATGCAGGCACATGAAGGAAGGCACCAGGCAATGGGGCCAGTAATAGATTAGAGACACAGGTTGGCAGATAGACAGGTGCATACAGCCGGGCCCATCACCAAACAGGTCTGGGCCAGACACAGCCCAAAGACAGAGACATAGGGCGTGATTAAGACAGGTATCTAGAAGAACAGAAGTCAGCAGGCTACGTCAGATTTGGACAGAGAACCAGACAGGTGGATGGACAGGCCTGTGGACAGCAGTAGGACAGGTTCAGGGTTAGATACAGCCAGGTCATTCGGGGCAGACCTGGGAGAGGGCCCCAGAACTCAGCGACCCCAGAGGGAGGCAGGGAGGGTGGGAGAATGGACACACTATGTCTGAAAACTAGGTGTGTCCCAGAGTTCTGAACCCCAACCAGGCAAGGTGTGAGGCCTCCCTACACGATAACAGAGGAGCCCCACTCCCTATCTTACTGTCAGTCTTCTTGGGGGGGGGGGGAGTTGTGACAGGGCCTCACTATGCAATTCAGGCTGGCCTTGAACTCTCTATATAGCCCAGGCTGGCCTCAAACTCATGATGATCCTCCTGCCTCTGCCTCCTGAGTGCTGGGATTATAGGTTTTTGCCACCACACACAGCTCACTGTCTTATATGGAGGTCTGTCTATTCATTCCCATCCATGCACATGACAGGCACATCAATCCCAGGCAAGACATGTATCCTCTACAGGGAGTCAAGCAGGATGAACCTAGGGTCGGGCATAACTGGACTGGGCTGCTTGCAGCCCAGATGAATAATCGGTCCCTGGTCTGCCTGCCCACCCCCCACTGGGAGCACAGAATTCCCGGAAAGGCCAAGAGCTGGCTGGGCCTTCAAAGAGAGGCTAGATACCCCCGCCCCACCTGCAGCTGGAGGAGGACAAGGGACCGAGTGTTTACTTCCCCACAGCAGGAGAGACTCCTGCACACCTAGGGACCACAACTTTACAACAGCCCCATAGAGGCACTCAAAGGTGGGGGGCGGGGGGGCAGAGCCACCGTCAGCCATAGAGGTGCAAACAAGTGTGGCCAAATGTGCATGTGGACTCATAGCCACCCACAGAGAGTCCAGGCTGACAGACACGAACACACATGGACTCCCAACTGCACGAGGTGAACTGGCACTCCAGGGATAGTCACACACTCACAGCCACACAGCGGGATGAAAGTCTCGCAGGTCTCATCACCCACACACTCAGACAGCACAGACTGACAACGGACGGCCCCATAGAGCTTCACAGACACCATGCCTCTGGACTCAGAACTACACCACAGAGCCAACTGGCAAGTCACATGGAGAGGGCACAGATGAGCACATAGAGAGCACAACTTCATACACAGCCCCATGTCTCTCCCGTTTACACCATTCCATGTTCAATGGCCCGGGAGGCCAACTTCCAGATTCAAGCCCTAAAATGACATCTCTGTGCATGTGAATTCATGTGTGCACTTGTGGTCGCACATAACCACATGCATCTCTGGTGAGAGACAGACAGACATGATTGTACAAACAGAGAAGCCCAGTCACACACATGCCAAGTGCATTCAAGCAGATAGCTGTACACAGCCGAGTACAAACACAGTGACACACAAATAGAGTCCAAGAAGAAATGCCCAGGAAAAGCCAGGCGTGGTGGTGCGTGCCTGTAATCCTAGCACTCCTGGAGGCAGGAGGATTGAAAATTCATACTCAGACTGGGCAATTTAGTGACCTGGTGAGACTCTGTCTCAAAAAAGAAAGAAAAAAGAAACACTCAAGAAAAAAAAAAGCAAAAAAGAAACACTCAAGAAAAGCTTACAAAGGCACATAAACAAAAGGCTGGGCATGGTGGCACACATCTGTAATGCCAGCACTCTGGAGGCTGAGGCAGGTGGATCACTGCAAGTTCGAAGCCAGCCTGGGCTACGTAGTGAGTTCAAAGCTAGACTGAACTACATAGTGAGACTTTGTCTCCAAAAAAAGGGGATATAAATAAGAAATGGGGGAATGGAGAGTACATTTACTATAATGGTAAAGAGGAAATCCAGAAAATACACCTAAATCTCCAAGAGGGAGAAACAAAGGGCTCAGATAGGACACATGCAATGGCTCCCAAAGAAACACCTGTAGGGCACACCCCGCCAGCCACTCACTCATTGAGGAGAGCTACAAACCCCCGTAGTGGCAGGCACACAGAGAAGAAACACACACACGTAGCTGCCCAGCGCCCTCCAGCCCCTATCTCCTCCCTCCTCAGGGTCTATCCCAGCCTACTCTGATTTTTCTCCCCTCCAATACCCCTCCCCCAGCCAAAGCCATTACACACCAGGAAGGCCAGGAAAAGATACACCTGTTACCAGAGTCCTTGGCCTTAGTGACTAAGAGGAGGAGGGTAAGCTAGGCAAGTGTACATATTTCAAGAAAAGTCTAAAGTGTCCTGTCCAAAGAATTAGTGTACCTTGGACAAAACACAGACACCCCACCCATCCACCTACCATTGCCCACCCACAGCCTTGTGCTCTGATCATTTCCCTCTCCACCCTAGCCCTTCCCCAGCTCTCCAGAATTACCCAGAACAGAGGTATCAGACACACAGCAGGTGCTCAACAAATGCCATTTATGGAGTGTCATTATTTTATTTCTGTCAAAGGAACTCTTGGAGAGGGAGGGGATGTACATTCACCATGCTCTGCATGTGCTGGGGCTCTGTGGAATTTCATGAAATGTGGATACCAGGTACTCAACATATGCTGGTGGAGCAAAACAGAGGGAAGTGGGATCTGGCTGTGTTGGACAACCTGCTTAAGAAGGAACAGTTGTTTTCTAGTTTGTTTTTTGGGTTTTGTTTTGTTTTTTTTCAGTGCTGGGGATCAAACCCTGGGCCTTTTACATGCTAGGCAAGCACTCTACCACAGAGCACAGAGATACACCCCCAACCCTTCAAAACTTTTTTTTTAATTTTTGAGACAAGTTCTCCCTAAATTGCCCAGCCTGCCCCCAAACTTATGATTCTCCCACCTCAGCTTCCTAAGTAGCTGGGATTACAGGTGTGTGCCACCCTATGCAACAGGACAGATTTATGGGGGTGGGCGGTTACTGGAGAGTGAATTCAGGGCCTTCATACTGAGCTACATCCCAAGCCCTTTTTTACTTTTTATTTTGAGACAGTGTCTCATTAAATCATTAAATTGACCAAGCTGGACTCAAACT